CCGCACACACACACACACACACACCAATAAGAAAGCAAATACTTACCTTTTTTACCCACTCAGGGGGTAAAAGGAAAGCCCCATGTAAGATATGAGTTTCTCGAATTGCAGCTTACACAAGGCATGTACGCTATGTATTTAATGAGGGAAGCGAGAAGAAGTGAAATATATACATCTTGACTGGAATTAATTGTCATCGTGAACATTTTTACAAGCCCCTGGAAAACCACAAATGAACCAGCATTCCTGACTTTCTTGTGGGAGCTTCCCGAACCCTGTATTACCAATCTAGACCTTTCTTCCACATTGTATTTATAGATTATAAAGGCCTTGATATACTGAACAAATGACTGTTTGTTCTTCCTGTGGTCCATGGTTATTTGACCAAATGCCCCTTTTGGCTTAGACTACATAACCAAATGCAAACACTTACCGTAGCCTCCTGACATTTTTCTTAACTGTTTTTGTATTCCCATTGACTTGTATGTAAAACCAACTTTTTTTTTTCTTTCTAAGTTTTGATAGTGTGAGGAACTGTCTGTGTCCTCACTGGGGAGATTCAGCCCTTCTATTTATTTCTGGTACTACTGTCTACAGTACAGAAAGTGATTGGAAATTCAAACTTTTACAGTTGTCACTGGAACAGGAAATCTTCCAATGGAGATACCTGTTCTATTGTACTAGAGTTTGGATGTCTAAGAGAGGATTTCCCATCATTTTGGAGAGATTTCTTCTCACCTCCTGTTGAGTCTCTGGGAAAAAAGTGAAGGGAAATTTCCCCAACAGGACACAGACAGCAGAAAAAGAAAAAAGCCTGGCAAGGGGTCTTAACCATCCTTCTACTCTAGCCAAAATTAAATACTTTACAGTTGTACAAAGATTGTAACCTGTAAGGTCAGCTTTAGAGGATAATATCCAACTGCTTTTAATGCAGATAGTGACGTTGACTGTGTCACCCTTTTGTACATCACATGATTTCTTCTATGATTCTATCTCTCTCTTATTTACTAGGAGATAAAGGTTAATGTGGAGCAAACAAAATGTGTATATTAAAGCTATTATATTAGACATGTACAAGCACACAAAGACAACCATTAATTACTGTTTTTTTTTTTTATTTGTAGTGCTAAACTAAGGAATGGAGAGGAAAAATGTCTCAATCCTAACTCCAAAGTGGTCAAATCAATAATTGCGTGGGGGAAGACTCGGTAAGCACACTGATATAGCGTTTATCATTTGAAATATTTTCTAAGTAATACAAATTTGCACTCTATTGGCATATTGGGGGTTATTCACTAAAGAACCAGAGGATCCAGGCGTAGCTTCGGCTGATCCTTCGGGTCTCTTCGGTGGCCTCTGCCGTTCGGTTCAGTTGAACCGAAGGGCTGCTGTACGAGCTATTCACAATAGCCCGTACAGCAGCCGAAAGCAGCTGAGCGGCTCAGCCGAGCCGAAGACAAATGCTTCGGCTTGACTGAGCCCAAGTGACAGCCGAAGCGGGGAGAACAGCCTGCCGAAGGGCCAGCAGTTCTCCCTGCAAATGACAGCTGGGCAGAGCCAGCTGTGATCTTACGGCTCACTCCGCCCAGTTGTAATGACAGATCAGCATCCCCAAATGACTTGGGGACACTGATCTGTCATTAAACAATAACAACTGGGCGGAGACTATGGCAGGTGCCGGCTAATAGGAAACAGTCACTGCCATTGGGCCCCTATGAGAATAGGGGGCGAACGGCAGCGAGTGAGCTCAGCCTAACCAGATGTTGGATCGGCTTAGTCGAAGTCCTTATGCACTTCGGCTCAGCCGAACATGCAGAGCATGTTCGGCTGACCGAAGGCAGCCAGTGTAAGGCTGATTTTTAGCAGTACAAGCCAGAAGTGAATAACCGAACAGCGTTTGGCTCATTTCACTTTGGCTGGGTTATTCACTCGGCTGCCCTCGGCAGCTTTGTGAATAACCCTGATTGTGTACAATAGTTATTCCTTTGCCACTGGATGGCACTTTTTATTTTTTTTAACGTAATTATTTAATGTCAAAATTTATATAGTGCTGACATATGAAACAGTGCTTTACAAAGTATGTACAACTGTTCACATCAATCCTTACCTCAGAGGACTGTATTCAAATGTCTCCAACACAGTACTACAAACATATATTGTAAGGTCTGGTCACAAGTCAATAAATCCAACATGACGGATCCACCAATGGTGGATTGTGGTTGGAGACTCCAGCAGTATCCTATATAGAAAATAAAAACTGCATGAAATTGCACTCTCATCCTCACCCTGCACAGAGTTATCTTTTTTTCCTGAAATAACACAGAGAACCACTGACATATTGTATTTTTTCTTAGGCTCCTTAAACACCACAAGACTAACACAAGTTAAAGGCATGGCTGACAGGGGGACTTCCCCTACAAAAGAGGAACAATGCACAATAAGATGTTTGAGATTGCATTTTCCGTTTACTTGTTTACTTTGCTAAAGTCTAATAGTATTATTCCACTAACCACGCAGAATGATGTTGTCAGCCTGACATGTCCTATGGATACCATATATTGCAGGCTTGGAGTAATATATGCTGTGTCTCAGTGTAAATGTATACATAAGAGGAATATTAATCATAAAACTGCATTCACTTTACTGTCTATAAATATATTAATATAAAATATATAAAAAATACATATTTACAACTTACCAGTTTTCATTTATACGTCTGTATCTAATCACTAAAAAGTGCTTAAATGGCAGAATCATTTCAGAGGAAAATCCCTTTAACTCAGGTTCTCTATTAACATTTAAACATAACCCTAAATCATAACCTAGCCATTAAATCCAATCTTTAATCTAAACACAGCTTTACCCATATTTATATCATTCATATTTGGATGATATATAGATATATAGATATATATCATCCAAATATGAATGAGCAAGGCAAACCTGGGCTTGATT